TCTTGTTGAATATATGTAAATGTCTTACATCTAAGAGATTCCTCAGGTTCTAAATAAAATATATCTTTTTAAAATCCATCATAAAACAATGATAAACATCTTTTTTTGTTTGTGTAATGAGTAATGAGAATATACAATTCTGAGATGAAATGTATGTGTTTTTTTGCTTGCATGTGAGTGTGTAACATCAGCCCTGGATGACACAGCTGACCCAGTTCTTTCGCAAAGGGTTAAAAATAGCCATGCGGCACAAAGTGGGCAGATAAATGTGTGCTCTGAGTTGTGTTAAATATGTGCCTCATATCCCACTGAGAGTCTGTTATGATCATCTGCACCAGTGACATAACGTGCTGAATGTGCATAATACAGTACAGTACAGTACAGTACACACACACACACACACAGCTTTAGACACCAAAAATACCCCAATATATCACCTGCAGATTATTGTGCTGGACTTTGTGCCTTTTATAGTACAGAAATCCAGTCAGCAGAATGCTTCCATGTGAGCACACTAGCCTTCACGCATGCACGTTTGTGTATGTCTAAATGCTGGGGAAGCTACTAGCTTGTCAAGCTGCAAGCTATTTTAAAATAGTTTAACTACAAGGTAAAAATAGCATGCCAAGCTACAAGCTACAAGCAAAAGCAGCTAACTGCATTAAAATGAAGATTATAAGATTACTATGGAAGCTTGTTTCTGCACAAGATTTAAATAAATAAATACTTGACTTTTTTCTCACAATTCTGAGTTTATATTCCACAATTCTGACTTTTTTTTTTCCTCACAAAAACATACAGGTGCATCTCAAAAAATTAGAATACCGTGAAAAAGAAAATGTTTTTTGTAGCTTATTTCAAAAAGTGAAACTTTCATATATTCTAGATTAATTACATGTAAAGTATGTTTAATTAATGTTTTAATTTTGATGATTAGAGCTTACAGCTCATGAAAGTCAAAAATCCAGTATCTCAAAATATTAGAACATTTACATTTGAGTTTCATTAAATTACCATCCCTACAGTATAAATTCCGGGTATCTCTTGTTCTTTGAAACCACAATAATGGGGAAGACTGTTGACTTGGCAGTGGTCCAGAAAACAATCATTGACACCCTACACAAAGAGGGTAAGTCACAGAAGGTCATTACTGAAAAGGGTGGCTGTTCACAGAGTGCTGTATCAAAGCATATTAAATGCAAAGTTGACTGGAAGGAAGAAATTGGGTAGGAAAAGGTGCACAAGTAACAGGGATGTCCGCAAGCTTGAGAATACTGTCAAGCAAAGTCGATTGAAACACTTGGGAGAGCGCAGCTAACTGCATTAAAATGAAGATTATAAGATTACTATGGAAGCTTGTTTCTGCACAAGATTTAAATAAATAAATACTTGACTTTTTTCTCACAATTCTGAGTTTATATTCCACAATTCTGACTTTTTTTTTTCCTCACAAAAACATACAGGTGCATCTCAAAAAATTAGAATACCGTGAAAAAGAAAATGTTTTTTGTAGCTTATTTCAAAAAGTGAAACTTTCATATATTCTAGATTAATTACATGTAAAGTATGTTTAATTAATGTTTTAATTTTGATGATTAGAGCTTACAGCTCATGAAAGTCAAAAATCCAGTATCTCAAAATATTAGAATATTTCCTAAGATCAATCAAAAAAAGGATTTGCAAAACATAAAAGTTCAAGTTCTTTAAAGTATGTTCATTTATGCACTCAATACTTGGTCGGGGCTCCTTACGGCATAAACTCCAGCATCAGTGAGGTGTGGCATGGAAGCGAT